ATATTACATTATATATAAATATATATGATATTGATATGATAATAATATAATATAATTGATAATTCCAAAAAATATGTTCATCTATTTATGTTTGACCATGCTCATCTTAATTACGTTTGATCTGCTTTGTATCAAATAACAGAACAGTTATATATACTAAAATTACGAGCGCTATTCTACACCAAACTGTTATATTGGACAAGATTCAGAGTAGTCGTGTTTCAGTATTATTCAGTATTTCGTGATAATAGGTGTAGTACTGATTGTTGAACGCGGTTTAGTAGTACTCAATATTTTCTCTGGTCAGTTTTGGCTTGTGGTGTAGAGGGTGCAGAATAGCACTGTCGTACTAAAATAATATTTATAATTGATCGTGGCTATATATAAGTATTAAATAACTCAAAGACAGTCCATTGCATGAACCGTCTGTTTAGTTGTCTGTTACCAGATTCAAAAACTTACAGTGTACATGCCCTTACCGGATTCAAGCTGGTCATTAAATAATGAGATATTTACTCGTACGGCCATGAAAAAAATGCACCATCCTTTTATGGCCCTAATTTTTTGGAACTTACATGTATGCCTTAAAACGAAATTTTCTTTCTTCCATAGCCTTCTGTCAACTCTGTTATGGTATTCTGTTAGCTCCCCCACTTATAGATACGTGAAATGTCTAAATTGCCCTTATGCTCTTTCTGTCTATGCCACATCCGAGGGTGAGAGAGAGAGAGAGGGAGAAAGGGGAGGGCGCCGCGGCCGCCGCCGGGATCTCCGGCCCCGGATCCGGCGGATGCACCTCCGCCCGGCACCACTCCCTTCGCTGGCCGCCGTGGGGGAAGCGCCGCCGCCCGGCTAGTGCAGCGCGCGGGGGCCTCGTGGTGGCGGACGCTGGGGTGAGGCCGGCGCCGCTGCCGTCGGCGGACGTACGTCGACCTTGCCGACGCCGACCGCTCGCTTGTCCGCGTCGCGTTGCCTTTCCTCGTCGCGCTAGCTGTTGCTGCATAGGAGTATCTTGCATGCATAATATCCCTGACCTGTGCTGACTCTGAACAATCGAATGTCATTGCATGCAGCCTCTGATGACGGCGAGGAAGGCGGCGTGCGGGTCCGCCGGCGCGCTTGGTGACGATGGTGCTGTCTCCGGGGACGTACTACATCGGCTCCGTACAGTTCCAGCGCGGCCCCTGCAACGCCTCCACCTTGACCTTCCAGCTGCAGGCAAGTGATGCGGCCAGTTGCATTGCACTCCATCTCCATCGGTAGTTGCTAGTCAAGCACCAACTGGCTGCTCGTACGTGTCTGCATGCAGTTAATTAGATCGAGTCTTACGTGCATTGCGCATCGTCCATGATCCATCGGTGCATGCAGGAGACGCTCAAGGCTGACGTCGCCCATTTATGTGTCAAGTATGGTCAATTGCAATGCATTTGTGCAATTTTTTATGTATTTGATAAGCTTATTTTATTGCAATGTATCTGTGTACTTGATTATATGTCTTATTATGCATTGTTATGTGTGAACTTATTTGCGTAATATTACTCCAAATATACAGCAGACAAATAAACTGTATTTTATTTTTTACCCTTGACTTGTGCCAAGAAAGAAGAAAATTTCGTTTTTGTGCCATGCAGGTAAGTTAAAAAAAAGGCCATATAAAGAAGATGTATTTTTTCCCGGGACCGTACAGGTAAATATCTCTTAAATAATTAAGCTAAAAATGGTCCGAAAGATCTTTTTAAACGGTAAAGCTACACAACATGTGTTTTAGAGTAACCTAACACCTGATTTTCTATAGAACATCTATTTTTGGAGCAACTTAACATTCGAATTTTTTTCCACATATTTTGTACTAATCCTAACGTCTCCTCCAACTCCGGTGAGACGTTTAGGTTCAGGTATTGGTTTTTTAGGTGTGGTAAGAAATTCAATATGTTTAGAAAGAAAGCTGAGGATGTGAAGGTGGCAAACTGGCTTGATAATATAATAGTGACAGGAGAGGAGGCAAAAGGCGACGTGGTGATAGTGTCGCCGGCTATGAAGAAGAGGGTGGTTAGGCGTCAGGCGACATCACAATGATAACCCAACGGATCTAGGTTATCATGGGAGCGTAGTTTGTGTATAGTACTACGTATACTACAACCGGCAAATACCTAAATTACCACTAAATGTAAAAAAAATTCACGTGCATTGGGAACACACACATAAATAGAAGGGCAGTACTAGCATCTCGATGTGCGGATGAACACCCGTGTCCAGACGCCCGTGGCTGTGCACGCCCGCACCCAGCACGGACCTCCTGCGCCGCTCCCCGCGCTTCCCCCTCGGCTTTCCGCCCCCGCAGCCGCGCAACGCTCTATCCCTCCGCTTTCCACATGCATGCACTGCAGCAGGTGGCTGTGGCAGGTGAGGCACATTGCAACATGTACAACACTCGACCTACTTTTAAAATATCCAAATGAAACATTTGCAACATGCGTTTGAAGACAGATGAAACACTTGAAACATGCATCTAAATCACTTACAAAAACACCTTAAAACACTTCAAAAGCCATTGCAAAACATATGCAATATCCAGATAAAAACACTTGCAACATCCAAATAAAAACACTTGCAACATACGTCTAAAAAAACAAATAAAACATCTGAAATAGACGTTTTGCAACATACGTGTATAGCCATTGCAACATACGCAACATCTCGATCTACTTTTGCAACATCCATATGAAACACTTACAGCATACCTATAAAACATCTAAAACAATTAAAACATACGTTTGCAACACAGGGGAAGAGAGATCGAGGCTGGTCGATTCCAGCTGTCAGGGTGGGAGCCAATGGCAAGAGCCGGTGTGCGAGCACCACCAGCACCAGCCGCGCTCGTGGGTGCCCCTTGGCTCAATCGGGGCCGACCTGAGGCGCCCTGGCACGTGTGCCCAGCCGCCATCGGCAAGAGAAGCGGTGGCCCGCGGAGCGCAAGGCATCCCGATGGCGTTGGGTTGGGGAAGAGGCCGGGGAGGCACTGCACGAATTGAGGGAGTAGGCAGCGTGGTCAGCCTGGGTGGAGGAAGAAGGCAGTGGTGGCGGCGCGGGGCTCTGCTGCGGCTAGCGGACACAAGAGAGATCGAGAGACGGGGAGGGTGAGACGGAGCGGGAGAGATTTTTTTCTCGAGAGAAGCGGACGAGGTGGAGTGGGAAGCCGAGTATGAACGGACGTGGGCGGACGGACGCCCGTGTCGAAGTATTTCCGTAAAGAGAAAGGGTAACTATAAGACAAATTAAAAAGTCATCTCTTTTGTTCTCAAAGGGGCTAAAAGCTATCACATTGATCCTATAAAATCTATTGAAATGGTTTATATCTATCAAAAGATACTGAAAGATAGATAAATGATCTAATACAGACGGGAGAATGTGCAAAGAGGTACTAATAATAGTAACATGTAATGGTTTTCGTTATTTATAGTAGCATACCATAATTTAATTAACATTACAACTGGATGTTTCCATGTTAATCAACAAGAAATAAATCACAAGGAAAATCTATGAGTTATTACACGCATATACAAAAGCTATACAAACCAGTTATCTTGGCAAGCATATAAAAGTATCATCAAAGAGTTTCTCAATCCCAGGCCACTCCTTCACTGTGTTCACCTCTCTATCTCGTCAATTTCTCTCAGCATAATCGTAGGCTCACTAGATGCATTTTTCGTGTTTTTGAACAGAAAGATTTGGAATCGACATTGACCAAATGGAATTCAATGATCATTAGCTTGGTGGGACATGCTTAATTTTATTCCAACAATTAGTATATAATAACACATAAAACAAACATACATGAGCTTATAATATATTTACTCCCTCCGTCCCAAAAAAGAATGATGTTCTAGGATTCAAAATTTGTCCCGAAAAGAATGATGTTATGTGATTCAAACCTCATGCATGCATAATCTGGCGCGTTAATCTCGTGCATGCATGATTAAATGGAAATATATTTTTCTCTACCTTGTACATGCAACTCAACTAATTAAGGGCACATGCGTCTTTTCATCCACTCTTAATCTGTCTAAAAATTCCTAAAACATCATTCCTTCTGGGACAGAGGGAGTAATAATTATTCAAAATAAAAAGAGAGTTGATATTTTAGGTGTCTGAATTTTTAGACATAAATCTTAGACAACTTAACTAATAAAATTAAAATAAAAACTCATAGGAGACAATTTACAATTTTTTTTCTATACATAGTCAAACAATAACAAGATTTATATGTTGTCTGAACCAAAAAAAAAAAACAGACATGTGAAATACAGGAGAGGTGAGATAAAAAAATATCAATACATCGTAATAACACGATACGGTGGTCTCCCGACAAAGTGGCAAGCCGCCTTCAAGTTCAGCATGCTTGAGGTTTGAGGCAAACATCTCGAAGCCTGCGGCAGTTGTGGCACTCCGCCAGAGCAAGCGTGCTCGCCACCGTCTCCGCGTCAACGCTAGCGTGCAGCTTCAACTCGCAGATGCGCTTGAGCCTGTCGGTCCAGGTATGGGCCTTCGCTACAACTCCAGCCCTGGCCTTGCAAATCGTGCAATATTCGGCCCAAATCATGGCCCGGCCTGCCACTAAAACCCCCAAAGGAAAGCATCCCCCGCGACGCCGTCCGTCGTCTTCTTCCCCAGCGCGCGCCCGCGCCGCCGAAACCACCGCCGCTCTCCTTGCAGGCTTCCACTCCACTGAAGCAAGCGGTCCGCACCGAAGCAACGCTTCGCTCCTCTTCGTCGTCGTCTTTCGCCGCCCTCCGCTCCTATACTGGTATGAGCTGGCGTGGAGTGGATTTCCATTCGCACTTGGGGATTGATTTCTCTTGTTGCTGATAAACCCTAGGCCGCTGTTTTTCCCCCCAGGTTCTTCTACTTATTCAACGCGCGCGGCATACATTGGAGTTGCGATCCAAAGTGCTGGTGCAGTTTTATTTGGCACAAGCTTTTGGTGGTTCAGCGTAAACTCCATGAGCGACGACGGCATCATGGCCTCCCCTGTGGTGGAGCCGCCCAAGCGGGAGCAAAATTTTCTAGTGAGGGTAGGGATGGACGCCTGGACGCAGCCGTTCGCGGTTGCCCACAAGGTCAGGTTGGTGCACATCCTCAAGAATCTCCACACCTCGGAGGTCAAAATCTACTCAGACGCGTCCAAGGAGTTCATAGGACTACTGGATGGTGAGTCCGGCGGGGAGGTGCTACAGGAGTACGTGCAGCAGTCGCCGCAGCTCAGGGAGCTGATCGAGGCGTGGTGGCTCCACCGAGAGAAGCCAGGGATGGCGTACATACTTTCCCTCTTTGCGGCCGTCCTGGGCCACCCTGATGGTAAGCTGCGGCGACATGGTTCGGTTAAGAAGAGCTTGGACAGTGTCGCTAGGATGATACTGGAGGATAAGGAGAAGATGGGGGATGTGTATCTGGAGCTGAACAGTGGCGAGTTCCGACGGCAGAATGCCGCGCTGGATTTGCTTGCTGCAATTGTCAGGCGTGGAGGGGGTTTGGCGTCGGAGGTAGCTGAGAGATTTGATTTCAAGATGGCTATTTTGTCGCAGCTCGCTGGGACGATGAAGAAGAAAGGGAGCAGGGATGGAGGGAATCGGCGGAAGGGTGCTGAATTTGGGTCCACAAGGCGGTCATTTATTGGGTTTGCCATGTCGTTTTTGGAGGTTGGGAATCCAAGGCTGCTAAGATGGATCCTTCAACAGAAGGAGGTATATTCAGGAGTTCTTCGTGGGATTGGAAATGATGATGCTGAGACCGTCATGTACGTCCTCTCAACTCTGCGAGACAATGTCCTGGTAGATGAGTCACTTGTCCCACCAGGGCTCAGGAGTGTCCTCTTTGGAAGTGTCACATTGGAGCAGCTGAGCTTGATCTCAGGGAATCTTGATGCAGGGGAAGCAGCTGACATTGCTCATGAGGTATTGGTCATGGTGTGCACTGATCCGAAAAATGGATTGATGCCAGGATCAAACTTGAGAGGTAATGAGAAACGCTTGCTAGATCTCATGAAAAAGTTGAAAGCTACTGAGGTTGCTCACCACAAAAAATTGTTGCTGGCCATTGTGAGTAATAGGCTGTCTCTTTGTTCGGCGTACATGAATGAGTTTCCTTACAATATTGAACCACGGTCGTCTCCTTCATGGTTAGTTCTGAGCATTTATCTGTTTATTTTTGTAGTGCAATATACTCATGCTGGTCAAATTATTATTTGCAGGTTTTCAGCCATCTCCCTTGCAGCTGATGTCATAGCTTCAGCAAAATGTGATAGCATTGTTCAAACTCTTTCATCCAATTCACATGGTCTGGTATCTGTAGATGATGAAGAAGTTCAGGTAGTCTTGAAGTGCATCGTGCCCAATGTATGCTCTCGAGCAATGATAAATAGGGGATTGCTGCATTCTGATGATCTTGTGAAGCATGGTTCTCTGAGGCTTGTTTTTGAATCAGTTAACCTGCTTTGTTATATTATCGAAGCCATCAATTGCATGGTATCAGAAGGGAGACTGAAGTCAGAATTCATTGGCTCAGAGAAAGTAACCATGAAAATAGATGATTTCCCAGTATTAAGCTGTTCTGATGGTACAGATGCATCCTTAGTTGATGAGGTTCACCAGGGAGATGAAATTCAGGTCAAGAGGTGGACATCTCTAAGAGAATACATCCAAGATGAAGTTCATGGAGCTATGCCTGATCCTCAAGTCCTTCTCAAGTTACTCTCTTCTACCAGCCAGAAACATCAAAATCACTCTCAGAGCATCTGAAAGAAAAATGCTCAACTTTCTGAGCCTCCTCAAAAGAAACGAAGATGCAGTCCTTCCTGTGAGGTTGATGATATTATTATTGGTGGCATTGATGTTGAGCAGGATAAGGACGCATCTGAAGAACAAGACCTGGACTTAAAAAATGACCGCACAACCTCCTTGTGTGAGATATGGAGCTTAGATAAACAAGATCCGAAGCTGAAAGATGCAAATGTTGTAGAACATGTCTTCCACTCGAAGTTGCTGGATGTTCTCAGGCTTTATTTGGTAGGTACACCTAAATTCAATGCTCTGTGTGCACTTGCTGGATGTTCTTAATTCTTCTGACCTTGACCTGATTTTTTTGGGTGCATGTCCCTAGTCTCTACTTCTATAATCGATGGGATTCATTAGCAGTTTATAGCATTAATATTTTCAACATCTAATTTTCTTTCAGGGGGTGATGCCCAGCTCTTTTGATGGATCATATGACTTCTTTAAGATTATACCACCTAACCCATTGGATCTGTCCATGGATGAGCAGCAATCCCTGTTATCTCTTTTACTTGAGTATTCAGGCCAATCTAGAGGATATTTGGACCCAGAAAGAGCTCCAGAATCAATGTACAAGTATCTGCAACCCATGGTTTATATCATGTTGCATTCACAGATTAAGAACATCCGTGATCAAGCATATATTTTAGTTAAAGCTGCTATGGCAAGTTCTGGTGCATTTGATCATAACTTCACAGAGATTGATGCATGGTTGGTTTTCTTGCCTGGTTATGAGTCCAAATGGTGTGTAAGAGAGAACCTAAGAGTTGGAGCACCTAATAAATTATCACACATTGTGATCCCTTTTCTGTGTGATGCTATTTCGGTAGTTGGTAACAACCTATATAAATACCAAGAGCACACACGCAAGCTTATCTCTAAATCAGGCCAGTTGGAAGGTATTACATTCTTTGTGAAATGTTAATAGATCAGTAGTTGCTCTTTCGTAAAATTAATATTAATCGTATGTCAAGTATCTGCTCAAGCTAAGCTGTTTATCTTGTCTATGTTCCATCATATCAGCTGTATTGCCTCATGCTGTAGAACAGTAGTATGGCAAATGGAATGTCAAGACTCAAGAATAGGCAATTAAAAAAAAACTTACAAGGTTTGAGAGGGTATAGCCTTCCATAGTATCATCTGGCCATGTTAGCAACTTATTTGTTTAAATGCTCTGCCATGTTATCATTTGTTTAATTCCAGTCAGTTTTTTCCTTTTGGATTTCAATTTATGTGCTTCATCCTAAAATCATTCCATAACACTTTCTTGTCATAAACACTGTACATGTTGCATTTCTTCTTTGACTATGAATCACTGACTCATCTTGTTGATGCTTCTCACTCTTTTCACTTCTACTATTTAAATATTGCCTGATGAGATTCAACTTCATCTGTATCTCAACCTTTTCTGTTGTGGTTTGTAGGCTGTTCTCCAGCTTTCAGCCCTCTGATTATTTGTGTTCTTCAGAAATGCCTTAGGCTACTCGGCATAGAGTCTGGAAGTACAAAGTTACACGAGAAGTCCACAATTTCATTGTATGTGTGCAACACGATCCACCTTATTCTTCAGTCTCAGGTATATTAGACATTCCCTATATTGTCTATAATATTTTTACCAGATTTGCATGATGAATTGACTAGACTGCTGATTCTAACAGGTGGACGTGCATTTATTGCCCGATCTTATACGTACTGTTCTAAATGAAAGATTTGATAAATTTTCATCCCAAGAACTGAACTCTAGGATTTATCTTGCTGAGTGGAGGCCATTAACAAATATGCTGCATTTCTTGAGGAGAATTTCTGACCAACAAAATTATAGCCTGTTCAACATGCCGGAACATTCTCCTGAGTTTGATGGTAACTCGTTGTGCTCTGTATCTAGACAGGTTGAAGAAATGTTGAATCAAGAGCAAACTAATTCGCTGGATGATGTAGCAACTGCATTCTTATTTTCAATCATATGTGCACCTCCAAAAGATGTTATCAGTGCCTTTCCAGATCTTCTTGATGTTGTGAAAACACGTTTTCCATCTCATGTTGCTTTCTTGTCCTCGGTTCTTTTTCTGCAACATGATTATCTGGCTAAAGTTGCTAGTTGTTGGCCAGATATATTCTTCAGCAGCATCAGACTGTTCAAGGATGATATCAGTGTTGACCATGTAAACACAGTTGAGGATTTAATGGCAGAACCTCTCTGTTTCAACAGAATCAGCTCCGCTAAGTACATTTTTAAGTGTCAGTCCCTTCTGTGCGCTTTTACCTTCAGTATTGTGCCTTGCATTTTCTTCGCCAGATGAAATCAGGGAAGCACATAAGGATGCACTTCTAAGACTTCTTGAAGTTAAATTGTCTGATTGCACATTCAGTGAGCTTACCTTGTATCTGAGAGTCATCTTGTTCTGGACTCATCACCTACTGTCATCATATACTATTAAGGATTCAAATTCAAATAATCTTGAGCAACCATGCCATTTGTGCTTTGGTCTTCTTGATAGAGTATTCGAGCGTATTCAAGTTTTGACTGCTGACCTTTCACAGTCAAAATCTACATACCCATCCTATCCAGTTCAATGTATCCAAGACATTGTTGATTCTGTTCTTCGGCATCCTGTTATTACCCTGTCTTTGTCATGCTCTTTATCCAATTGCCAAAATTTAGCAGATGGGAGTTTGGAACATCTGGAAGAAGCTTTGGCTATTTTTGCGAAGGAAAATCTGCACCTTATAGATCGTTTTGTTCTAAACCTTTTGGGTAAATTGTATGACCTTTTGCTAATGTTTGGTAGCTATGGAGGTAACTACTCTTCCGATAATGGCCCATCCCATGAGTCACTGTTTGCTGCTCCAAATCTTCTGCTGGAGAACATAATATTGCTGTTCAAGGAGAAGTTTGAGCTCTGCATGGACAAAGTAAACTTTGGATTGCTTTTGCCAAATTTCTACATGGTTCGCACACTGTCAAAATTCTTTTCTCCTGTCAAACTCCTGGACCTTGCAAATTGGATGTTCTCAAAATTGGACGGTCGCAGCTCCAGTTCACCTGCTTTTGTTCCTGCTGTTTTGATGTGCCTATATATTACTGATGTTGCCATGGAAATGCTGTGCTGTTATCTACAAAAAACTGATCAGAGATCAGAATCCCATCTATTTCGGGACTTGGAGATTCATAATTCTGATATCAATGCCATTCAGCAAGCCTATCACATCATTCTTCATTTTGCTACCAAATGGAATATTGAATTTGCTGATCATTGCTTGCTGAAGATGCTGTGTCGTATTCATCACACAGAAAGATGTGCAGGATGGAACACTGACTATATTGCATTCCATATGATATTATCTACAATGGCCATCAATACTCCCATTGACATTCTTCATCACTGCATCTTTCGCACATCTAAGGTTAAAGCAAAAGCAATCCTGTTGCTTTTGGAAGCAAGTCCTATGCATCTGAACCTTTTTAGCCAGATATTCTTGGAAATTTTAAATAAAGACACTTCTCTTTTGCATGTCAAGGATTCTGATTCTAACACTTTGGCTCAAGAAGATGGTGCTATACTTCTGTTGCCTGCTGCTTTATCATGCTTGAAGTTTCACAGCCATGACAATAGGCAGTGTGCTGAATTCCTTGAACCATTTCCAATCTTTTATTCTGAACTACTATTATGTGATAAAGGGTTTTCAAGTTGGAAAAGCTTTGTTACCCGGAGCATTTTTGAGGAAGATTTTATGGACTTTATACCCACATCAGTTGAAGATATAATGGTTTATTTCAGTAACACTCTCTTGGGGAAGTCAGTTACGATGTTGCACTACTACTTTGCATCGAAAGAAATTTCATGGAAACAACGCTTGGAAATAGTTAGTTCAATTATTCCAGAGTCATCTGAGCTATTAGATTCTGATGATGTTAATGATATTAATCCCACTTCGTGCAATGGCATTATGAAGTTTACTAATGAATTGTTCGCGAAGGTATCACTAATTAGACTGTTATTATCTCCTAGAAAATCATTGTCCAATGAAGTAGCTTCAGAGAGGGAGTCCAAGAGAGTGCACAAAGCAAAGCTAAATTTCATTAGCATATTGGTCAGAACTATCGATAGAATACTCATGAATTTCCCATCGAGTGACAATATCTTCTCACACTCTACCAAGGAAAGAAAGGTCATCTGTTTTCTGGAATATGTAATTCTCAAGAATATCATTGAACTGTCTTCAGAGATTCAAAGCTATCTAAATCAGCTGAAATCAGTACCTTTCCTTGCCCAATTCATCAGATCATCCCTCTTGCATAGATTCAATGATCCTGTCACAATAAAAGCAATTCGATGTATTCTTGTTGTGCTATCACAAGGAAAGTTCTCAGCTGATGAAATTATTGAACTTATACTGGGTCACTCCAATTTTGTATCGACAATAACATGCAATGAAGTTTCTGAGTATACATCTGCTTGTAACACCACAGGGGGGATGCTACAGCCAGCTCCAAGTATTTTGAAATTAGTTGATTCTTCTTTCATGGAAGAAAATAAGACAGAAATTTCTATTGCAGAAAAGAGAAGAGTTGAAACCATCAGATTACTAAGGGTACTGTATGATATTAAGAGCAGACAACAGAATAATAGCCAATTGAGTGAGTCAAGAGAATTAGTTTTCTTGCTTTTGTCTGTTTATGGCGCAACCCTTAGTGACACAGATTTGGAGATACTTCACCTTATGAATGAGATAGAGTCACCCGAGTGCCGAACCATTACTGAAGTCGATCATCTGTGGGGAACTTCTGCTCTGAAATTCAGAGAAGAACTGAAACTAGATTTTTCAAAATCAGATCGCATAACACAGAGAATGCTGAAATTACTGAAAGGAGAAGAGGCGCTCTTTGGGAGAACATACCTGTTGATTCCAAGCTCTGTGCAAAGACATCTTTGCTATATTGCTATAAAAAGATCTTCAAGGGCTTCTGTTTTCTCACTGGAACAGCTTCAACGGGATAGCTTTGCTGATAGTTTCAAGGTAATTTCTGGAATAATAAGTGTCAACTGAACTTTGGGTGTTGTTCTAGGTTTTGTGCTTTCACAGTAATGTTATTTAAATCTACCTCGCTGATCTATCTTCATCTGATTCTGGTTGGCAGGTAACATCTCAAAGAATGGATGTTGTTCAGATTTACGATCCTATTTTTATATTGCGATTCTCAATTCATACTCTTCACATGGGTTACATTGAGCCTGCTGAATTTGCCCGACTAGGGCTTCTTGCAATCACACTTGTTAGTATAGCATCTCCTGATCATGAATTAAGGATGTTGGGCTATGAGTGCCTAGGAACATTCAAAAAATCCCTTGAGGTACCTGCTGTTTCATGAATCTCTAAATTTTACCTGTTGTCTCAATTGGTTTATATACTTATCAACTACTCCTATCTGCTTATATTGAATTTTCTATGTTACAACTTATCTTTGCTTAGCGAACATATTGTTGATTAATATACATGCTTGTATCAGTATGTTCAAATTCTAGCATTTGTTAGAATGTTTATATGCTTATTTAAGTATGTTGAAATTCCTATTGTTTACATTTTTTAAATGTTATTCGTGTGTGATGGCTTTTATGCTTATTTAACTTGAATGACAGCATAAAGATTATGCTTATTGACATTCTGGGAGCATTTTTATGACATATAGATCTGAGTGCAAAAGGCACTTGTATGGTATTCTGTATTTGTGATCCTTTATCCTTCTGTGTGAAACGTGTCTGTTATTTTCTTGAAATATCCAACCACTTAAAATGTACTTTTACATATTTACAGTATGCTCAGAGAAGCAAGGAAACATGGCAGCTTCAGCTCCTTCTGACATACCTTCAGAATGGGATATCCGAACAGTGGCAGAAGATACCTTCCATTATTGCTGTTTTTGCTGCAGAAGCATCTTTGACGCTACTGGATGGCTCACACGCTCAATTTACTGTCATTAGAAATTTTTTAATGCATTCCACTTCTGTCAGTCTGCAGGTAACCATTATCTCAGAGTGTGTAATCAGAGGTATTGAATTTTAGTAATATTATTGTCCTTTTTGTTGCAGAGCATTCCGTTATTTCCAACCTTATTGCAGAGCAGTTCTGTGCATTTTAAAGCTGAACGTTTGTGGATGCTTCGGTTATTATCTGCTGGATCAAATCTAGCTGATGATGCTAAAATATACAAGAGAGGAAGAGTCTTAGAGCTTGTTCTTGCCTTCTGTTCTTCACCTGTTTCAGATTTTGAATCGAAGGTTTTAGTCCTTAAGGTAAATTTTGTAGTTATCTTATTTAGTCCAGTTGACTTCTTGGATCTGATAGTTGCTTGGAGATTTGAATATTTATTTATTTATTTATATTTGATATGCTTTGCATTGTAGGTGCTGAAGAAATGTGTCAAGCTGCCAGTTCTAGCTCATCATCTAGTAAAAGAGTCTGGCATTCTGTTGTGGTTATTGTCTGTTATTTCAGTCCGTAGTGAAGGGTCTGATGGTTCTGAAAGCTCCTGGTCTAGAGTAACTGAGTTAGCATTGGAGGTAAAACACTGTTATAAATTACTTTCTGCTATAGTGCACACCTTCAGAAGGAAAAAAATAGAGCACGTGATTTTTCATCTTTTCTGCATTTAGTCTTTGGCTGCAACTGGCAACGGATCAACTGTTTCATGAAAGTTCTGTTGAACATGAGGACCATAATATCATTTTTTAAAGCATATAACTGGTTTGTGTACTGTTTGGTATATTATGTAGGACATATTGATCTGTTATTTTGATACTTGTTTTGCATTTAGTCAAACTCACTGTAATAAACAGCCTTGAGGAAGTTCATCATGTTAGAGATGGAACAGATGGAATTTTTGCAATCATAGTCTAATTAATAATGGGTTTATAGACATTATTGGTGCATCAGCTCCATATCTAGGTTAAAATCAACTATTCTATAATATAGTTCTGAGCAGTTTTGTCTAGCAAGCATTTGCTGAAACCCACATTTGCTTAGATTATTTATAAAGGGATAGTTTTGGCACAAACGGCTATTGTTGTTGGTTGTAGCGTTGTTCTTCTGAATGCTAGAATTGATGGATAAAAATGTTTGACTGACTAGTTCCTGTGTATATTTTTCCTTGGTGTGACATAAATCCTCCATCAGAGGTCAACTTTGACATCTTATTGGTGCGACATTCTCTATAAATATTATTTTTTGGTAGCGTTATGGATGTATTTGCTCTGTAGCATTTTTGTGAAGCTGTTTTTTTGGTCACTAATCCTATAACTTTATTTGCTTTCTTCAGGTAGTCAATGGTTTGATATCATCAAGATTAATCACAGATTGGCTCCAAGAAACTGCCCTTGAGCAGCTCTCGGCAATATCATCATACCTTTCTGTCCTCCTAATTAACAATGCCAAATTATTGAAAGGAAATGCTTGCTTGTTGACTTCAGTGCTAAGTGTGATTACATCAACAATGAGGTTGTCTATGAAAAGGAAGATATACCAACCGCATTTTACCTTGTCCCTCCATGGTGTATTTAATCTGTGCCAAGCTATTGGTGGTAGCTCAAGAAGTACAGACCATAAGCTTGCAATGGAACTTTGTATCGATGCAATTCTGATGAATGGTCCTATACCAATTTTATCTGAAATGGTACTTTGTTCTTGCACTGCCTTTATTTCACAAGCCACTAAAATCACATTTTTACCATTGTCAATGTGTTGTCTGACCAAGTATTATAAGAAATGTTATATGTAAATCTTTATTTTGTTTCACAGGATAAGTCAAGAATATCAATGGTTGTTTCTTGGGCAACTTCAAGCATCTTCTGGCTGTACTCCAACCAAAGATCTCTGTTGGAAATATCCTGCAAAGAGCCACCAAGAAATGATTCTCTACAAGATTTTGCGATTTTGTTAGCTGCTTCTGTAATACTTGGAAAGATATCTAGCATCTCTCATGGAAAGAGTGTAGATCTTGCACGGAGCACCAGAAGTCTTGAAACTCTTAGGTCTTTCTTGGACGATGCATGTGAAAGGGTTGAAACGGCAACGAGTTGCAGTGCAAATGATACTCTAGCTGTCATTATACTGTACCTTCAAGACCATGTGGCAAAGAACAGTGATTCCTTGCCATCAGTTGTTACAGCCCTTTGCTTGTTGCTTCTTGACAGATCCAGTAAGCAAGGTACACTGGACTTTGCTGCATTCTGATGCTGATCATGAAGAGCTTCAATGCACCTAAATTAATCTATCAATTTTAGGATAATTTCTTGTGTTACAATTGCAAACATGTAGTGCCTTTGTGCTCTTATCTCTCTACTGGAATAATGAAGCATCTCACACTTTTTTTACTTCTTTGATGAAACAGTGAACAAACACCTGGCCAACAACCGTGGGAAAATGGAAATGCTTTGCTCAAAGATACACTGCCCGACTGAATCTAATCCTGCATGGAGATGGTATGGGCTTAGAATATTTTAAGTTTTTATATGCTTCTCTTATGATGACATAAGCGCTGGATATCTGCATATCATTGAATTAATCGTGTTTATACAATCTCAGGCATTACTATCAACCCTGGAAGGATTCTGCTTTGCAGCGCACCGAGATGGAGCGCCTGGAAGAAGAGCAGGCCTGCCGAAGCCTCCTGGTCCTATTTTCCAATGCCTTCAGTTCCTGCCTGTCAGAGTTCCCGGTGTTGTCCCTAGATGATGTTGAGAAGTCTGGCCTTTTCCAGTGGGAAAGAGACTCCATGATTAAACAGTCTTCCACTTAGTTTGCTGAAGAACTAGGATGACCCACATTTGACCTGTGTATACATCATGCTCCTACGATGGATCTTGTTTAGAAGAAGAGAATGCTTCAATCCTCAGTTGGATTGGATGAACCTACAGTGGACAGAGCCGAACCGGCCCTGCGCCCCTGCCTAACATCAATATGTTCAACACTTCCACTACTGTTCTTCTCTTCCCAGTTGTATAACAGGACCTGCATTATTGTCGCATTGGTAAAAGATTTACCTACAGTGCAGCGTTCCCTGTGTAAATTTTGTCACCTTGCCAATTACCACATATGGGTTTCAGCTGAAATGTTACATATTTTCCACAAAAGTTTCTATGCTGTGCGCAAAAAGTATGTACTCATCACCACACAACAGTGCTTGACTATGTACTCATCACCATTCAACACTGCTTGCAAGAATCCTCATCAGGGCGGTGACAAATCAGTCGCTCTTCCGGGCGGCCAGAGCATCCAGCGGCTTCTGCGCGTCGGGGAGGTTGCAGGCGTACAGCGACCACCTCCACGTGCTCGTCGACCCGCGCCTCTTCCCAGCCGGCGGTCCCGATCGGCGGCAGGACCTTGACGGTGAGCGGCACCGGCCGCACCCGCAGGCTGTTGTTCCTCCAGGCCAGGTGCGTGCCGGTCACCACGATGGGGACGACGGGCAGCCCCGTCTGCAGGGCGGCGTGCACGAACCCCTTCTTGAAGGGCAGCAGCCTGCCGTTCTTGGATCGTGTGCCCTCCGGGAACAAGATGAGGGACAGGTTGTTCTTGACCACTGCACGGGCGACCTACGGACAATGCAACAACACGGCTCAAGGACACAAACACAACACAAGACACGAGAATGCAGCGGAGAGGAGAATGGGGATCGCAGACACTGTCCCAGCCTAGGAGTATACCTGTTTCATGGAGTGGATTGCAGCGGCAGGGTTGGAGCGGTCGATGCGCAGGTGGTTAGCCAGCACGTAGAGCTGCCCGAACAGCGGGTACCAGATGATCTGTGTGACAGAAGGCAGCCAGCCAGGCAAGTCATTGGTCGAGGGACGCTGGGCGTGTTTGGATGCCGCCCTCGTCTGGGCTTGCCTGCCAGGCAAGCGATCGCAGCCCCAGGCGATCGAAATCAAATGCCTGGGGACGCTGCCTGGCGTCTGAGCTGCCTGGGAGGCAGCATCCAAACATGCCCCATGTGCGTGTATCAGTGTATGTCGTGTCCTGAGTCCTGACCTCCTTTTTGGCGATTCCGACGGTACAAGTGGGAGCGAGCCACATGACGAGGTAGATGTCCAGCGGCGACGCGTGGTTGCAGATGAAGATCCCCTCGCGTTGAGGTGCTCGGCGCCTTCCACTTTGATTGGGTTCCCCAGGATCCACAGCTGCAAAACTCGCAAGTCAAAAGATGTGCTACAACTTGCTTACCTAAAAAAACTAGCACAGCACACAGGCTCCGCTGCGTGCCCTGTTGCACGTGTTTTTTTTGAAGGGGAAGAATAAAAAGAAGGGAAAAAAAAAAAAACCGTAAAAAGAGAAAAGGAAAAAAAAAAAAAACTAAAAAAATAGTGCGCCCGTGGCACGTGTTTTTTTAAGAGGAAAATAAAAAAAGGAAAAAAAAACCCGTAAAAAGAAGAAAAGGGAAAAGGGCGGAAAATAAAAAAGAAAACAAAAAAATAAAAAATAAATAAAAAGTGAACAGTGGGTAGAGGCGGAGAAGGCAGGGACTCCTGAAATAAAAAACTAAAAAAACAAAAATAAAAAAAGTGAACACTGGGCGGAGGGCGGAGGGGCCAGGGATTCCTGCCTGGTTAAAGAGAGTATTGTTATGTGCCTGGAAATATTTGTCACGTTTGGAACGCACGGACTTTCTTTTTATAATTTACTATATGTATTTAATGATACACTACTTTAATCGTGTCGGGTGGGATCCTCAAAGCAAGGAAGTTAGCGTCCACGCTGACTTTCCTAGATGGCTCGAGACGTATTAAAAGATCTCACTCGACCCCAAGGCCGCGGGCTCCGTCTCGCCCGACCCCTTGGATGTGGGCTCCGTCTCACCCGACCCTAAGGACTTGGGTTCCATCTCGTCCAAGGCCGCGGGCTCCGTCTCGCCCGACCTCGAGGCCGTAGGCTTCGTCTCGCCCGACCCCTTGGGTGCGGGCTCCGTCTCGCCCGACCCCAAGGACGCGGTTTCCGTCTCGCTCGAGGTCACGGGCTCCGTCTCGCCCGACCTCGAGGACGCGGGTTCCGTCTTGTCCGACGGGGACCCATACCGTCGTCAACCACTCCAGGTCCAAGCGTATGGCCCTGGGTCAAAACTCTGACGTCAGGGAAGAGACTGGCACGCCTCGATGTAACCCGTGATCATGATGGGCCATACCTGGGAATTCACATCAAGAACAGTGTCGGGCGGGCCGGTGCTGTTCTGCCTAATCCTCACACGGACGCTGACAGGCGCGTCAGTTCACCACGACGTCCGTCGGGACGGAGTGGAACGCCATGACCGGTGGATGACGCCTGCGCATGGCGCCAGTGACGAACAGGGGCGCGACATGGAGCCGTCCCTATTGATATCTACAGGATCGGTGGGACCCGTATGAAGGAGGAGAAGGACCCGACAACCTTGGCAGCCTTCTTCTCTCTCTCGTTCTCCTTTTCCTTCTCTGTAACCCACGCTTTTCCTTCGCCTATAAAAGGGGAAGCAGGGCGCCCCATGAAAGGGAGGATTTTGACACAAGAGCACGACACGAGCACACGACTGAGCGGCAAGCGGGTTCTTAGCACCTGTTCACTCCTTCCACCAGAGATTTGGGATCCTCTCCCTCTCTCGCTTGTTTGTAGCCCCTACTACAAACCAAGTGCCGGTAACATGAGCAGCAGCGAATTGGACGTAGGGACGTTTCGTCCAAGCCAGTATAAACCCTTGTGTCATCCGAACACACCATTCGAGCTAGACGCGCAAATACAAATTTACTCGTCGGTGGTCCGAAAACACCGACAAACCGTATCAATTAACTCTTAGACACTATAGCTCTAAAGTAATACTCTATCCGTTCTAAATTATAAGTCGTTTTAATTTTTTGTTACATCCCTTTTGCTATGCATCTAGATAAATAATAGAGCGTAGGGGGAAGAGTAGTTTTCAAGAGCGTAGGGGGAAGAGAAATTAAAAGTGAGCATTATACTCCCGATCATTCTCCCCAACACATAATAGTTATCTAAAAATGATAACTTTTGCATATAAATTTAGATGAAAACAAATTTTGTATTAAAATTATGGGAGAATTGTTTGTTGGACATCCAAAGTGATGGTCATTTTCTGGCGGACACCCCATTTTGAGTAATTTGCTAGAAGACACTCTGGTTCGATGAAATTAGGCCACAGGACACCGTGGACCGGTTGCAGCTGGTTGAGGAGAGAGAATTTTGTTTTGTACATCCGGTGCCGCTGAGCCACAGTTGGGTCCGCCCCTCTCCCTTTCACTGACGCGCGGGTCCCACCTATCATCTTCTTCCTCCTCCTCTTCTCTTCTTCTATTGCTGAGCAGCAGCCACCGCCGTCGACCAGCCCCGGCCACGTAGGCGTGGCCGTAGGCCTCGAGGATCGCGTTGCGGTCCTTGAAGGGCCGCTCGAGCGCGTGGATTTGCTTCCCCGTGGTGGCCTCCTCGGTGGCCGCAGGGTCCTCGGGCGGCGGCGAGGGCGGGTGGAGGTGGGGCTCCTGCGGCTGGAAGGCGGAGGGGAGTAGCGGGCCGGCGGAGGGAAGCGAGTTGTGGCCGAAGCGGAGGGAGACAGGCGGGATGCGGCGGAGGCGCGCGGCCTAGATGAAGTCGGTGTGCTTGAGGTTGTGGTGTTGTGCGAGGAAGACGGCGGCGAAGAGCGGGTAGGGGCGGCCTGACTGCTTGGAGGCGAAAGCGGTGGGGGTGGAAGCCGGGAAGGTGTAGTCGGAGCCGAAGTGGATCTCGTCGCCGGAGAAGATGATCTTGTCCAGCTCGTTGCGCGCGTGGGCTCCGCCAGCCACGGCTCTGCCGCGCGAGGGCGCGAGCTCCGCCGGGCACAGTGGAGGCGGCGGGACAGCCTTGCCCATAGCTCCTCTGACCGGGCGCGATGAAGGCGACGGGGCGGCCTCACCCGCAGGCGTTCCGGCGAGGCATCGTGGAGGCAGCCGGGCCTCCCCCACCGGTGCGCAGGTGCGTCCCGCTGGAGGCAGCGGGCGCCCTTGCCTAGAGTCACGCCGACCGGCTCACGTCATGGAGGAGGCAGAGGAAGTACCGGCCACGGGCGTCGCGAGTGCGAGGTCACCAATGGCGTTTAGCAGCGTCATGGGTGGCGTGCGAGACCTGCGCCAGGACGAGCAGTGCAAGGCCGCCGGCGCCTTCCCCTCCGGCAGCGGCCTCCCGCGCTGCCTTTCCCTCCCGCGCCGCCATCCCCTCCGTTGGGGTCCAACCAGACCAGGTTGGGGGCAGATCCAAGTGTGGCTCAGGGGCACCGGATGTCCAAAATGAATTTTTCTCTCTCCTCAACCGGCTGAAACCGAGCCGCGGTGTCATATGACATAATTTCAACGAACCAGAGTGTCTTCTGGCAAACTACTCAAAATTAGATGTCCACTAGCAAACGACTATCTTTGGATGTCCGCCAGACAATTTTCCCTAAAATTATAGACCTCAACAGGATCTACAAATTTATAGTTATAATAAGTTTTTTATTTCAAAAATTATTTAGAGTATCAAATTTTATAAGTTATCAGATTTTAAAATTCAAAAATTAGAATTTTCGAACCACATCAGATGTAGACATGATCTATACAAAAGTCGTTGTTATCAATGTGACTTATAGCTTTGATATTTTTTTTACTTAAAGTCATTTAGAGTCTTGAATATTTATTTTATTTTCTCCATTTGGAAATTCAAAATTCAGAATTTTTAAATGACTTTTGTAGAGTTCATGTGAACGTCCAAAGTCGTTAGAAAATTGTGTTTTGAATTTCGAAATCTCAGTGTTCGTGCACATTCAAGAAACTCTTATCCGGTATTATTATGACTGAAAAAAATATAGTAGTACAAAATAAATGACAATCGTGAAACCGAGCAAAAGGATTGTCGATCGCGGATCGCCACAATGTAGATAGATGCAGGCGAAGCCAAGCGAAAGCACGCAGGACGTAGTGACGTACCAGCATGCGTCCGGTGACGTAGCCGTAGACGCTGCTCTGTCGGATGCGCTGGGAGGGCCACGGCAGGAGCAGCAGCATGAGCACCGCCCACGCCGCTGTGGTGAGCGCCATGGCGAGGAAGCAGACGACGACGCGGACGCCGCCCACCCGTCGTCGCCCCCGCCTGCCGCGGCCAGGTACGCGGCCGCCTGGCGCCTGGCCCACGGCAGCCATCGTCGCTGCGCCGAGGCGGCGGCGGTGTCCATGGCCGCAGCTCGCAGGGGATCGGAGGTGGAAGGTGAGGTGGAGGAGCAGCAGCCAGCAGGCAGCAGGCTGGGAAGGTTCTGGAGCAGAGTAGCAGTGGCGCGTCGCCGTAGGGTGGTTGGCGTTGATGATGGGCGCGTCTTTCTTGGACTTTATAAATTTTCGCATGGCGAGAGGTGGCATGCTTCTTTGTTTTGCATATGGTTCGTCTCGTATACGATCAGTAAATTTTCAATTGAAACAGTATTTTTTTCTCACACCAAACCAATCAGCAGTATTTCTTCACGATCCAGCAACGATAAGCACCAGCCAACCGAACAGGCTGTAGCCCTCTTCTATATTTCCGTTTACTATGATGGGCCCGACTTTTCACGCCATAACATAACGTGGCAAATCGATGACCTTATGGTAGTATGCTGCATTGGAGGAGTATACGTCTGTGTTGTTCTTGGGTAGTTGATCCGTCCCAAATTCAAAATCCTTCACCTTCAGGCTGGCTGCCATAGTTATTACAGTAGTTCCAGCTGAGCTGTAATTCTTTTGAAGAAATTAAAAAAAACGTTGCCTTCTCTTCTCCGGTCCGAATAATCCAGTCCAAGCACGCCTTGTTTGCAATTTATTATTCGCTTGCCAATTGGCAGGCACCAGTCACTATTAGATAGCTAAATGTCGCCATTTGCTCCTCTCTTTTCTTTTTCTCAGAGAGAGACAAGGGGAGGGAGAAGAAGATGTCGCTGTTTGGGGGGGCGTGGCCTCTCTTGGCCTACCGTGCACCGCCTCATGAATGGACACTTGCGGCCGTAGCTGAGCAGCATCAGGTGCTCGTGTGGCCGTGCCACAAAGCCCACCACCGCTGGGCCC